CCTCGGCTCACCCCGGCCCCCCCCCCCGGCTCCTCCTGACTCAGAGCCCGGCCGCTGCCCGGCGCTGGCGGAAAGTGTGAGGAGCCGGAGCCGCCGCCGCGGGCTGCCAAGGCAAACACGGCCCCGCGCAGACGTTATGTCAGCCGGGCCGCGCCGGGGGCACCGATCCACCACCGGGCCCGCCCCCCCCGAGCTCCCCGCTCGCCCGGGCCCGGTACCGGGCACCTGCCGCCGCGCCTCGGTCCACCTGCCTCACCGCACCCCCCCCACCTGCATCCCCGTCCGCCTGCCCGCATGCCCTGCGCGGACCCGCACCCCCCCCTCCTCGCCAGGCCCGGGGCTCCCGCAGCGGGGAACAGGGAACAGGGGAGAAACCCGTGGAAAACCCGCTCCGCCCTCCCGGCCCCGCCGCCCCCCGGCCCGGCCCCGGCGTCCCGCGGTCCCGCCGCTCCCCGCAGCCGCCGCCGGAGCTGTCGGTGCGCTCCCGGGGGCCGCCGCCCGCTGCCCCGCAGGGGCCCCGCACTCACCTCCTGCCCGCGGGTCGCGGAGGGGCCGGTGCCGGGCGGGGGCCGCGGGCCCGTGTCAGCCGGGCCGGCGGCGTGGCAGGAAGGACCGGGCGGTCATCTCGGCCCGGACGCGGCCGCCTGCAGAGGGCACTGCCGGTCCCGGAGCCGGGCCCCGCAGGCGGCGAGCGCGGCCCCGCGCGGCACGGACGCGCCCGCGGACACCGAAGGGGTCTTTGGTGCCGGTGGCACCGTTTATTTGGGTTATAAATACCGGAATGTCCCGGACCGGCCACAGCACCCTCCCCGCACCCATCCAGCTGTGCTCACCTGCCCCACAGCATCCAGCTGTGCTCACCTGCCCCACAACCTACCACACACCCATCCAGCTGTGCTCACCTGCCCCACAGCCTGCCCCAAACCCATCCAGCTGTGCTCACCAACCCCACAACCTGCCTCACACCATGCAGCTGTGCTCACCAACCCCACAACCTGCCCCAAACCCATCTAGCTGTGCTCACCTGCCCCACAACCTACCACACACGCATTCAGCTGTGCTCACCTGCCCCACAACCTACCACACACCCATTCAGCTGTGCTCACCTGCCCCACAACCTACCACACACCCATTCAGCTGTGCTCACCTCCTCCACAGCCTGCCCCAAACCCATCCAGCTGTGCTCACCTGCCCCACAACCTGCCTCACACCATCCAGCTGTGCTCACCTGCCTCACACCATCCAGCTGTGCCCCTGCTGCCTGCCGTGGCCTGGTCCTCCCCTCCATGCTCTTGCCTCTGTCCCATTTCCCTCTCCTGCAGCCCCCAGTTCCTGCCCACTCTGTGTTGCCACCCTCCCCCGGGAGGGGGCACTGCGGGGGGGGGGCGCCTGCCTTGAGCTTTGCTTTTTTTTTTTACAAAAATAATATAAATTAAAATAAATTTAACCATTAAAATAAAATAAAAAGGGAGGGATTAAATAGTGCCCTGTGCCAGCGAGAGCTCTGGGGCTGGGCAGCGGGGGCCAGGCACTGCAGGCACCCCGAGGCTGGAGCAGAGGGTGCCCTGGGCCAGGACAGCCGCACTGCAGGGAGAGGCTGTGAGGGGTCCCCCCAGCTCATGCCCCCCTTTGCAAACCGCTTTGGGGGGGGTCTCCCTGGCAACCCCCTCCCCGCAGCCCCTCAGCGCGGCCGGTTCAGCAGGACCTCGAGCCAGCAGGGGCAGGAGGTGATGAACTGCCGGGAGTAGCAGGGCCCCCAGCCCTTGGCAAAGCTGATGCGGACGCTGTGGGGGTCACAGGGGCCCTCCCCAGGGAGCCGCCGGCCCCCGGCGCCCCCTACGCGCTCGTAGTCGAACACCTTGGCCGAGTAACCGGGCAGCACCTTGAGGACGGGGAGCCCGCGGGCGCCGGGGGGCCCCAGGGTGGGCGAGCTGACGAAGATGGGGTGCTCGCTGCGGTTGTAGGCCCACACGCCCCCCGGCTCCCGGCTCAGCAGCAGCCCCCGGCCGATCTTGCCCCGCGCCCGCCGCACGGCCCGGCTGCGGTGAGCGGCCGGTAACTGCCCCAGGCAGAAGCCGCTGCCCCGCGGCAGCTCGCAGAACACGTTCACCGAAGCCTCGTGCACGGCGTAGAGGCGGCCCACGCGCGTGCGGTGCTCCCAGTAAGCCAGCTTGCACCAGCAGCCGTCCTTAATGGTGCTCCGGGAGAGGCTGGTGTCTGGTGGGAAGGAGAGCATCGCCATCACCATCGGGCAGAGACCCCCGCGCGGCTGGACGGGAGCGGGTCCGGGGGGGCAGTGGGTGGATGGATGGACACGGCCCCGCAGGGATGCCCCAGCGCAGACTCTGGCACCGGGGCGGGGGCACCGCTGATGCCAGCGCGCGGGGCCAGCCCGTCCCTGGCCGCAGTCCCCCGGGAGCAAGGTGAGGGGGGGTCCCCGTGCGTGAGGAAGGCGCGGCCCCGGTGCCGGTGGCCGGCGGCCAGGCTGGAGCTGCGGCCGTGTGCGTCAAGGCACATTGTGTGCGTCCCCGCGGGCAGCGCTTCCTCCGGCACCGAGCCCGCCGGCGCCAGAAATAACAGGAGCCGCGGTGGGGGGGCCCCCGGCAGGAACCCCTCGTCCTGCGCCAGAGCCTTTTCCTCGCAGCGGGAGCGGCTGCCAGCCCCACTCCCCAGGGCCCAGGCTCCGTGTGCCCCACCGGAGCCGAGGGGCGGGGGGATGCTCTGCCCCGTGGGGCAAAGCGGGGGGGGGATCAAGCAGCCCTCGGCGCAGCGGGACCCTCTTACCACGCCAGTGGCCACCGTCGTAGCTGAACTCCAGGAGCTGGGTGCCGGCGAACGGGGGCTCATCCGGCCAGGAGGGACCGCAGGACACCTTCGAGTAGGGGGGCGGCGGGGTCTCTGGGGGAGAGAAGAGGACGAGGGGCTGGGACGTGCATCCTGCACCGCACCAGAGCCCGGAGCCCCCCCCAGGGGGCAGCACTCACCGGGCACAGCCAAGCGGCTGAAGTGATGCGGGTTGCAGCAGAGCACGGCCGCGTCCCCGCAGCCCCCCCGCCCCCCGGCGCAGTAGCAGAGGTGCTTGAGCTCATAGGGCTGCCGCAGGTCGGGCCAGCGGTAGAGGCGGCAGAGCAGGACCTGGGGGGGCAGCGCCTGCTTGGGGCCCCCCCGAGACTCCCCCCTCGGCACCCACACGCAGCCGGACTCGCAGGCGCCCCTGCTCTCCACCGCCTGCACCAGCAGCTCCAGCTCCTCGTCCTTCAGCTTCTTGAACAGGGCATGAGCCGCCGGTTTGAGCGCCCCGGGGCCGTCCTCGGGGCCCGCGGCCGCGCAGCGCTGCCGCCACAGCCGCCTCACCAGCGCGGCGCGGCGGGAGCGGAACATGGGGGCCGCTGCGGGATGGGGGCAGGCGTCACCCGGAGCCGGTTCCCCGCAGTGACCGCCCTGCCCCGACCCCACAGCCCCCCCCCCGAGGACACAGCGCTGCCCCGGGGGGACGGGTGTCCGCAAAGGTCATGTGGGGATGTGACCCCAAAACCGATCCCCGGGCAGGGGAACCCCCCCGTGGAGAGGGCAGGGGTCTGTGTGTGTGTTCCCCCCCCCCCCCGCACTGGGATGGGGTCCCTAGCGATGAGGTCCCTCAGATAGGGTCTCTAGGAAAGGGTCCGTGGAGATGGGGTCCTTGGGAACAGGGTCTCTGGGGATGAGGTCCCTGGGAACAGGGTCTCTGGGGATGAGGTCCCTAGGATTGAGGTCCCTGGCATGGGGTCCTTGGGAACAAGGCCTCTGGGGATGGGGCCTCTGGGATTGGGGTCCCTGGGATGGGGTCCTTGGGAACAGGGTCTCTGGGGATGGGGTCCCTGGGATGGGGTCTTTGGGAACAGGGTCTCTGGGGATGGGGTCCTTGGGATTCAGGTCCCTGGGATGGGGTCCTTGGGAACGGGGTCTCTGGGGATGAGGTCCCCGGGATGGGGTCCTTGGAACAGGGTCTCTGGGGATGGGGTCCCTGGGGAAGGGTCTCACTCACGGCACAGCAGATCGGGGTGCGCGGGGCCGGGGCTGCGCACGGGGCCGCGCTCTCCGGCTCCGCTCTGCCCGCGCCCCGCCGCTCCCCCGGCTTTTTCCTGTGCGGGGCCGTTCTCCCCTCCCCCGGACCTCCCCGTCGGGGCTCTCATTGACTCGCCCCGTCCCGGCCGGCCCCGGGGCTGAGCCACCGCGGGGCTGGGGCAGGCGCCAGGCGCGTGGGCTCCGGCTCAGGGCCGCGCTATGGGGGCTGCCGGAGCCATCCTGGCTCCCGGGGGCTGCCGGCACCGGTGCTCGGCTGCAGCGACCCGGGCAGGGGGGGGGGCCATGGAGGGCACGGTCCCGGCAGCCCCCAGCCCACGTAGGCACAACCTGAGCCCCCACTGAGGCCCAAAGCGGGGTCCCCGCTGCCCCCCAAGCCCTCCCCCCGGCCAGGGCCCCCCCACGGGCGCTGAGCGAGGGTGGGAGCGTGCTCCACAACAAAGCCGTTAATGTAAACGGGACCCTTATCCCGCGCCGGGCTGGGCTTCCTGCTCCCAACTTCCCGCCGAGATAAGGGAGGCCGCGCTGGCGCCAGGCGCTGCCGCTGGCGCTGGGGCCCGGCTCCGGCACCCAGGGGCACGGGGACCCCCTGTGACCCACAGCAGAGCCCCACGCGTCCCACCGGCCGTGACCTCCCTGCAGCTCCAGCCATGCTGGGCCCATCGGGGACGTTCTGCTCTGGCTGCTTCCCGCTGGCTCTTGGCAGCGCCAGGGCCAGGGCAGGAAAGGGCCTGGAGCGGGGACAAGGGGAGATGCTCTTTAGACAAGGGGCTGAGTCATGGACGGGGATAAAGGCGGCTGAGGGACAGGCAGGACGCGGCTCCTGCCCCAAGGGGCCGCAGGCAGAGGTGATGCTGGGGGTGCCTGGGACCTACCCAGGGTGAGGGCTGGGACAGGACATGGCCCCCCTGGAGCCCTCCCCAAGCACACGCAGCTGCTCAGGTGCTACTCAGGTTTATTGGGGTCTCTGCGATGGCAGAGCGTGGTCCCAGCACTGGGTGTCCATCAGCTCCATCAGCATGGGGCAACAAGCAGGCAGGCCTGGGGAGAGGAGAGGTACAGAGGGTGAGGACCCCCTTACAGCACCACGGCTGCACCCCTCAACCCCCAGGAACACTGTGGCCAGGCTCCTGTCACCCCCCAGGCACCACTGTTGGGCTCTCATCACCCCTCAAGCACCACGGCTGGGCCGTTGTTCCTCGAAGTCCCCATGGCTGGGACCCCAGCATCCCCCCAAGCACCATGGCCAGGCCCTTGTCCCACCACAGCTGGGCCCCCGTCCTCCCCCAGCCCCACGCCGAGGGCAGGGCACTCACCCATCACTGCGCAGGGCAGGCAGGAGGTGCCAGGGGGGGGGATCCATCCCTAGTCCAGCAGCTCACGGATGCACCAGCTGCAGAGCAGGAGGTACACGCACTCCCGCAGCAGCCGCAGCAGCCAGGAGCCCAGGCGCAGCCCCAGCGAGGCACCGGCGGGTGCCGGCAGTGCCACGGCCCGCACCGACCGCCTCGCGGTGCCCAGCGGCTGGGCTCGGAGCAGGCGCATGGCCGAGGGCTCAGCGGGGTCTGATGCGGGGCGAGCGCTGGAACCTGCTCCATTCTCTGCGCTTCAAAAGCCTCCACAATAGCGGGGGTGCAGCGGGGGGAGCCCTTTTGTTCTGAGCTGGCCTCACCCCCCCAGGCCCCGAAGGGACGGGCAGAGCCAAGCACGAGCGCGATGCCGATGCAGCAGGTTTATTCAGTGCTGGCGGGCAGCAGGTTTATTCAGTGCCGTAGCCAGCGGTGCCCGTGGGGCCTTCACCGGCGGGACGTGCGCTCCTCCTCCTCGTTTTGCAGCTCGTAGGCAGGCCGGTACCGGTCCCGGCCCTGGCTGTCGGTGTAGCGCAGCGCCGGGTTCTTGAGCGTGTTGGCCATGCTCCCCAGCGATGTGTAGCTGCAGGGGGAGAAGGCAGCTGCCAGGCTGCACCCCGGGGCACCGGCTGTGCCAAGCGGGGCGTGCAGCACCGGGCACTCACCCCTTGTCGTACAGGATGCAGTAGGGGACAAAGAGCTGGCGCAGGAACTCCCAGATGTCCCGGTAGGTCCAGTCCTGCAGGCAGAATCGGGGTTGACAGAGAGATCCCAGAGGAGACAACTGCCCCCCGACAAGCACACACAGGGGAGCCCCAGAGCGCTCCTGTCCCTCCCGGGGCACCCCCAAATGCAGGAAAAGCCCCAGTTTGGGCAGGAAGGAGCCCGGTCTGACAGCACCAGGCAGCCTGGCTGCAGCGAGGGGCACCCATCTGTGCAACAGGGTGGGAAATGCTCTCGGGGGAAGCCCTCCAGGATGGGTGTGGGTTAGAGCCACCTTCCAGCTCCATCACTTGAGCCCGCCCCAGAGCAAGAGGAGGCCATGTACCAGCAAGGGGTTCACCCGCATGTATGGGGGCCAGCCGGGGTCTGTCAGGCACATGGGGGTCAAGGTGCGTGAGTAGGGGTCCGTGCGCCGCGTCCCCATCAGCACGGCCTCGAGCTGCGGCTGCTGCTCCTTCAGGTGCACCAGAGCCTCCCGGATGGAGCCCTCCACGGTGCAGAGCTGCACCTTGTACCTGTGCAGGCAGGGCAGGAGCTGCTGCGGGGCTGCGGGGCTCCCTGCTCACCCCACAGCCTGCCCCTCACGCCCTGCACCTCTGCACCGTGGCCTGGATGAACTGCTCCATCTCGGGGAAGGGGGACACGATGCGGATGTAGAGCACCCGCAGCTTCTCCTGCCTCGCCGGGTACCGCCTGTGGAGAGATCCATCACAGAGGGGCTCCGTACCCCGGAATCCACGCGTTCCCCCAGAGCAGGGCAGGGGAGAGCCCCGGCTGGAGCCCATGGGACCCCCTCAGCCTGCCCCAGGCCGGGTACCTCTCCACAGCAGCATGGACGAGGTGCAGCAGGGCCGTGCAGTCCTTGCCCCCGTTGAAGCCCACGCAGAGCTGGGCCAGGCTGTACCGCTCCAAAGCCTCCTCGATGGTCCGCAGAGCTGCTGCCACCTTCTGCCCCAGGGCTGAGCCTGCCGGGACGGGGCAGTCGGTGCCCGCCCGGGGTTATGCTGCCTCGGCACTGCCCCAGGGCCTGCAGTACCTTGGCCTTTGGGCACATCTTGTCTCCAGACACGCCATGGAGCCAAGAGCTTGCATAACCCGGAGGTCTGTGCCACGGATGGGACAGGGATCCTGCCAGCACCATGGCGCAGCTCCCTCCAGCACAGGCTGTGCTCTCAGGGACTGGCCCCAGTGACCTGAATTGGGGTTCTGGGTCCCACTCCCACCAGTGGCTGCGGCAGTAGCAGGGCCGCAGCATCCCTCAAGCCCCCCAGCACAGGCAAACTCTGCTCCCAGGCTGGTCTTCCCCTGCACTGGTCCTGCGAGGCTGGGCACTGCTTTACAGTGAGGGTGGTAAAGGCCTGGCACAGGCTGCCCAGAGAGGTGGTGCATGCCCCATCCCTGGAGACAGCCAAGGCCAGGCTCTATGTGGTTCTGAGCAACCTGCACTAGCTGGAGATGTCCCTGCCCACTGCAGGGGTTGGAGCTTTGGGGGTCCCTTCAACCCAAACTGCTCTGCAGTTCTATGATTCCCTGTACCTGACTCAGCCAGGCCGTAAACCTCCGTGGCCGCCGGTGCGATGCAGTCCGTCACCGACGGCACAACAACGCCCGGCGGCAGCTTCTCCATCAAGAAGCGATGCGCTTCCTCCAGGTCCTGCTCCGACTCCGAGTCCAGCATCAGCTTCACCCGGTAGTAGTTACTGGCCCAGTCCGGGTAGGAGCCCAAACTGACGCGGCCCTGGAAGGCGGCATTGACCTGGTCCAAGGCGGGCGCGATGAGCACCTCGTCGGCCGCCACGTAGACGGTGCGGGAGTGGAACCGGGTCTGCTCGCTGCGGAAGAGGTGGGCGAAGCCGTCCAGGGCGCGCTCCATCAGCGCTGGGATGCCGGGGAAGATGTAGACGTTGCGCACGCTGACCAACGGGTACTTGAAGGCGCTGCCCGCGCCGTAGTTGAGGCGGGAGGATGCGGGGACGCGCGCCAGCTTCATCTCGGGGCACTGCGCGTCCGTCGCACCGAAGAACCGGTGCACCAGCGCCACCAGCTCGGGGTGGGGAGCGACCTGCTCGCCGAAGGCCCTGGCCACGGCCTCGAAGGTCACATCGTCGTGCGTGGGGCCGATGCCCCCCGAGGTGAGCACGAAGGTGAAGCGGGCGGCGAAGGCGGCCACCTCGCCCGCGATGGCCTCCACGTCGTCGGGCACCACCGAGATCCGCGCCACCCGCACGCCCAGGGCGCGCAGCCGCTGGCACATGAAGAACGAGTTCGTGTCCTGCGTGTGGCCCTGCGGGGGAACGGAGACACCGGTGACGGGGGGGGGCGGTCCCGGGGCACCCCCCCCGCAGTCCCGGCCGCACCTTGAGGATCTCGTCGCCGATGACGATGATGCCGGCGGTGCTGCCCCGCGCCGCAGAGGGGCCGGGGGCCGCCATGGGGCGGGAGGAGGCGGCGCGCAAAGCCCCGCCCGCCCGCAGCGCCCCCCGCAGCCCTCCCCACATGGGCCCGGCGCGCCGCTCCGCCGCTCTCAGGCCGCGGCACCGCCTCGCGCTCCCATTGGCCAGGCGGGGCGTCCGTCACAAGGCGCTGCGGGCTCGGATTGGTCAGGAGGCGGGACCCGGCGGGGACAGAACCATCGCGGTTGGGCGGGGGAACGGCGGCCGCTCCCCCGTTGTGGCCGTGGGCCCGCCCGGCGGGCGAAGGCACGTGCGGCGCCGCGGGGCACCGGGAGCTCCGCCCCCCCGTCCCTTCCCACCGGCACCGGAGCGCTCCATCATCCCCCCCCCCCACCGCCCCCGTTCCCAGCACAGCACACAGGAGCTCCCAAACAAACATCTCTTTATTGACAATAGAAACAGGCACCAACGCCGGGGCTGAGCCGCCACTGCTGCAGCGCCCGGGTAGCACCGGGAGGCGTGGGGCAAAACTCCCCGAGGGTGATGCTGAGGAGGAAGGTGCTGGCTCGGCTCGGGCCGCGGGCCTTTCACTTCTCCGGCTTCTTGGGCAGCGGCCGGCGGAAGAGCAGGATGTGCGGCTCTGCGGGATAACGGAGAAGGGGAGGGGTGGGTGTCAGGCCTGGCCCCGCCGCCGCAGGCCCCCCCCGCTCCGAGGCTCACCTGGCTCGTGGATCATGTAGTGCACCCAGCCCTGGCTCTGCTGCACGCCCAGGTTCCGCCACTCCGACTCCGAGAGCAGGTGGGTCTTGGGCACCAGCTTCGCGATGTCCTTGGGCAGCATCACGTGCCTGCAACGCCGCGGCCTCAGCCGGGACCGGGGACACCAGAACCGCCCCCGCAGGGGAACCGATACCGGACATCCCCGCCCCCCACATGCGCCATTACCTGCACACTCCCTCCTTACTAAGCAGCCATTACCGGGACATTTCCCACCCCCGGCTGAGCCGTTAGCGGGCCATTTACCCCCCGAGTGAGCCGCTACCGGGACAACCCCCCCCCCCCCACAAAGCCGTTAACGGTACAGGCCCCCCCCGCGGCCGGCCTCCCCCGCCTCACCGGTACTCGAACTCCTCATCGTCGTACTTGTCGGAGTAGTAGATCTGTTTGTGCGCCATGACCCGCTCCTGCGGCCGCCCCTCCCCGCCGCCCCCGCCGCGCCCTCGCCTCAGCGGCCGTTGGCGCTGCCCCCCCCTCGCGGCGCTTTCAAACGCCGCCGCCCCGCGCGCTCAATGGCCGGCGCCGCGCAGTGGGCGGGGCGGAGCGAGCTCCTATTGGCTGCCGCGCGCAGGGCGCCGCTCGCCCGCGGGGGCCAACCCGGCGCGCTATTGGAAGAGCCGGATCACGTGGAGGGGGGCGCGGTGAGGCCGTGCTGGAGGGTGCGGGCCGGAAGTGAGTTGCTGGCGCGGCGCGGCGCGGGGCGGTGCGGGGTCTGGGGGCAGCTGTGCGGGCGCCGCCGGGACCGGAGGAGGCCGGCGGGAGACCCATGGTGCCCCGGTGAGCGCTGAGGGCCGGCCCGGGCGGGGGGAGCCGCCGCCAGGGACCGCGGCGGGATTGGCGCGGCCTGCGCAGCCCCCGCGGGAGCGGCCGGGCCGTGGGGCCGGGTCCTCGCCGCTCGCTGCCCCGCGGGGCCTCCCCCGTGCCGGCCGCTCGGTTGTGTCCAGGTCTCGGTTCGCTCCGGTGCCCGCTCCCGGGGCGGCGGTTGCGGTGCGCACCCGGGGCCTGTAGCTGCGCTCCGGCTGGGATCGCCCTGTGCAAGGTGTGCAGGGGCAGCTTGGGCGTCGCTGCCGGGGCCCCAGAGCACGGCCTCAGCGGGGACAGGGCGCCGGCCCGTTTCCAAGGGAGCCGCGCCCTCAAGCCCTGTCTGTGCTCCGTAGGGACAAGCCGCGGGGCAGCCCCGGGTGATGCCGACCGGGGTGGACGCTCCCCGTTGCGGGTCTTTGCCCCCGTCCCCGCAGCGTGTCGTGTCCGTTACAGGCTGTTCCTGCTGCTCCGGTTGAGCTGCGGAGCTCCCTGGCTGCGGGTTGTGCCAACGCGTGTCCTGGGCCCTGCCAGCCTTGGCCCCCTGTGTCCGAACGGCCTCGTCACCACCAAAGGGGTCTGGCGCGGTGCTGCCAACCTGCGCTGCTGCACTTGCCAAGCAGGGCCCTCCTTATCGCAGTAATTGTGTTAGCTCCTGTGCGGGCTCCGGTGCAGGCCCCAGATAAGGCCATGATTGCTGCAAGGAAGTAAATCACGTTGCTGCCCTGGGCTGCTTGGCCTTGGCCGGGCACTGGGGGTGGGAAGAGCAGGGGTTCTGGAGCTGCTCCTGCTTTGCTTGCCTTGTTTTTCCCTTGCAGAGCTTCCTGCCCTTCCTGGCTCCCCCCTCGGAGCCTCTTCCTGTGACTTTCTTCTCCACTGCTCCCTTGAGATGAGGGGGCTGCATTGCAGGGGCCTCTGCATGTCCTTGTGGTGCCAGCCAAGGTGGTGGCAGGAAGGGGCAGCTCTGCCCCCCCCATCCCGGGCTGCCTTTGCTCTCCTTGTGTGCGTGTGGCCGCTCTGTGCTGATTTTGGGGGTTGGCTCCAACCCCCATTTCCATTTGCTGCTGTGGGCAAGGTCTGAGCAGAGTCAGGCCTCATGCGCCTTCCCAGCACATCCCAGCTCCGTCCCTGCTCAGATGGGAAGCAGGAGGCTTCCCTGGATCTCTTGTCCCTTGGTGGCAGTGCTGCAGCCCTGCGGTCAGTGAGGAGGAGGAAGAGCAGGGTTTGCCTCAGTGCAAGGGCCAGCAGGGCAGGGCTGGCTAACTCCCTGTTTGTCCCTGAACCGCAGGTCGGATGCCACACGAGAGGGGCTGTGCACTTCTGTTCCCTGCCCGGGGCCTGCCCTGCCCTCCGCGGCGATGGAGTACGTGGTAAGGACCGCGGTGGAGGAAGAGGTGGCTTCGGTGGTGGATCCTGCCTCCCCTCTCTCCTTGCTGGCAGGGCCTCAGCCTCCTCCTCACATCTCCGCTGGCATGTCCTGGCCCCTCTTCTCAGCAGCAGAGAGGTGTTGGCAAGGAACACGTAGGTGCCATATGATGCTCTTGTGATTGGAGTGGTGTTTTTGTGTTTCCTCCCTGCCCTGGAGGCTTGGGGATGGCACCATTGTTCGACCAAGAGGGTCTCTTGCCCCCGGCAAGGTGTGTACGTGCAGCAGCAGCCTGCGCACGGCTGCCTGCTCCTCGCTGCAGCTTCTTGCCAAACCACTGGTGTATTCCAGGTCTGTGACTCAGCTCCCACTTTGTGTTTCCTGGGAGGATGTAGGGCCAGCGCCCGGGAGCACAGCCTCGAGCGTCCCCTCTCTGCTCCTCGCCTCAGGGTGCATGTGAAGTCCCAGCCCCAGGCACCCAAAAGTAACCCTCATCCCTCTGCCTGTCCTGTGCGTGGCGAGGGGAAGGGCAGCTGCCTGCTGGATGGGGCTCACTGCTGCATCTTCAGGCAGGGCCTTTGTTTTGTGGCCTCTGTCTTCTGTGCTCTGAGCCTGCTGGAAAGGGCTCTTGGATGCCCAGGAACGGGCTATGGTGGCTGTTCCTTGTCTCTCCGAGGCCTGAGAGCAGCAATACATCTTGTGAGGGCCCAGTGCAAGCTGGTGGGGTGACAGGGACTGAGTGGCCTCGGGAAGTTCTGGTACACTCAGAAATGATTCCATCTTGGAGAAGCAGAGGCCTGTGTGTGGCTCCGGGGGTATCGGGATGGCTGCTTCGAGCCCATTGTCTGGCCAGGCACTGAGCTGGTGGGAAGTGCCTGAGGAATCCCCCCCATCCCCTTTGCAATTCCCTGGGGAAGCGCTTGTGCTCACGGAGCTGCTGCTGCCGTGCCAAGGGATCCTGGCCCCACATCCGCCGGTGCCCGGGCCCTCGGTGGCTCCCCCCCGGCAGCAGGGGGCTGCGGCTGCCCCTCGCGGGGCTGGCGGCTTCCTGGCTCCCTGGCCCCGGCTTCCTGCTTTTCTTTAGTGCCGTGGCCACGGGAAGGTCAAAGCACGGGGGCCCCCGGCGGGGACGAGCTCGTTGGAGGACGGCACTGCGGGCTCCCGACACCAGGGGCGGCTGAGGTGGGGCTGGCGTCGCGGCGCTGCAGCACCGGGAGGGTGATGAACCCACCGGCGTGAGCCGCGGCCCCTCGCACCGGGCTGGAGCCTGTTTCCAGCTCGGTCCTGGCTTCGTTTCCCTCTCCCCACGGCGCGGTGCCAGAGCTCGGGAAGTGGGGCCGGCAGCCGGGTCCAAGCGGGGAGAGCCCTTCCCTTGGGCTGGATTGACCCGGGGTTGGCGCTGTGGCTGGTGCTCAGCAAGGCCCCTGCCAGTGGTGGGTCAGAGGGGTTGAAATCCCTGCTTCAGCCATGTGAGGTGGAAGCAGGGAGAAGGAGAAGGAAGGAGAGAGCTTTTGCCCCCTGGGGAAGGCTCATACGCATTGATGGTGCCGCCGGTGCGTTGGGAAGGGGGGAGCGGGTGCCCCCGACCCCCGCACCCGCTGCTGGGGGCTCCCCGCGCTGCAAGGGGCCGCCGTTTGCTCCCCGCTCGCTCCCTCCCGCTGGCTCCGCCTGTGACCTTGATTTTTCCGCTCCAGATAGGCGCAGGGTCCCCTCCCCTCACCGCCAGCCCCTCCTGCGCTGCAGCCCCTGCCCGTGAGTCAGCACGGCCCTTCCGAGCAGCGGCGGCGGCCGCTCAGCCCCGCGCCCGCCGGCCTGCGGGCAGCAGCAGCCGCCTCTCCCGCCCGCGCTGAGCCCACCTGTATCCTGCTCCTTGCGCATCCTCCTGCTGCCCGAGGATCGCTGTCCCTGCATCCCCGCCGGCTGCGAGCGCCGCTGGCACCTCAGCATCGCGGCTGCTCCCCCGGCAGAGCCAACGGCGCCCGCCCGCTGCCGGCACGTGGGTTGCGTGGCTTTGGCCACCACAGAAGGACCTTGTTCGCTCCTGGCCGGTGCTCGCAGCGGGGCTGGGCCGGGCTTGGATGCGCTCTGAGGCTGCCTTGTCTCAGGGCGTTAAATATTCATGCTTCTGATTTCCTCTTAGCGGGGCAGCAGCGCGGGACCGGGCCGAGGGGCTGCAGCCAGCCCCGCCTCAAGACAATGGGATTTGCGGCGGGGCAACGCGGGGCCGTGGGGCTTGAGGAGCTCCGGGCTGGGGGCCGAGCGTGCTGAGCCCCCCCGGGCCGCCGCCACAGCCCCGTTTCCTCCGCGCCGCAGCGGGGGTTGCGCTCCGTCCATCCGGATCCGCACATCCTTTGCTGACGCCGCTCGGGATCGATCGGCTGCGCCGGCACGGAGCCGAGCAGCCCCGGGGTCGGCTCTCGCTGCCGGCCATGCGGGGCTGGCGCAGCCCCGGCACGGAGCTCGACCGAGGCTTGTGCCTGGGGGCAGCTTCTGCGTCGGGACCCTCCATGGGGCGCCCGTGAGCCCCGAGCGGCTGCTCCGGGTGGGCCGGGCCGGGCCGGCGCCCCGCGCTCAGCATGGATCTCCTGCAGAAGAGCAAATACAGCCACCTGCGGAACGAGTCCGTCTCCTCGCTGGAGGAGACCGTGGCGGTCCCGGGCTCCCCGGTGGAGCCCTTCCCGGGCACACGGTCGCTGTCTGGCTCCTTGTCCTCCTCCTCCCTGTGCCCCGCGGCGTCTCTCGGGGAGCTGTCTCCCGAGTCTGAGGACAGCCCCACCACGCTCTGCTCCTTCTTCCCCAAAATGGCCAACCTGAAGCTCTCCAACCCCGCCAACCTGCTCAGCCTGCGCGGCTCCTCCGGCAGCGGCAGCCCCGGGGAGCCCCCGGCACCAGCACCGGCACCGGGGGTCAACGCCAGCGCCGGCTCAGCGGGACCTGTTGCTGTCTGTTCCCAGGATATGAACAAGCTGAGCTGCGGGAAGAAGACGCGGGTGGAAGGCGGCCAGCTCGGAGGGGACGAATGGACCCGGCATGGCAGCTTCGTCAATAAACCCACCCGTGGCTGGCTGCACCCCGATGACAAAGTCATGGGCCCCGGGGTCTCCTACCACGTCCGTGTGAGTGCTGGGGACTGGGGGGGGTGATGGTGGGGATCTGGGCACCTCCTGGCATGTTCCTTGGGGGTGGGCAGTGGGGTTCCTGGGGTGCTCAGGCTGACCCTGCTCTCTCCCCCAGTATATGGGCTGTGTGGAAGTCCTGCAGTCCATGAGGGCTTTGGATTTCAACACCAGGACGCAGGTCACCAGGTGAGCTCTGCCTCTTTGGGGGGGGGGGGTATGAGCCCCATGCAAACACCTGTGTGGGGCTTTTTGGGGGGCTGGGCTGCCTGCAGCAGCCACGTCAGATTCACACCAATGTACTTCCCCGGCTTGGAGAGCCCTGTTTGTCACCCTGTCCCTTGTGTGCTGTGCTGGTCCCGTGGTTGGGGGGGGGATTGACATCTTGCTCGCTCCCTGCAGGGAGGCCATTGGGCTGGTGTGCGAGGCCGTGCCCGGTGCCAAGGGAGCTGTGAGGAGGAGGAAGGTGAGGCTGGGCTGGGGGGGGGGGGGGTTCAGCAGCATCAGTGCTGAGGATGAGGTGCCCATCTCTGCCTGGGGGGCATGGGTACCCCCTCCCCATACTGCTCTTTGTCCCCAGCCCTGCGGCCGCTCCCTCAACTCCATCCTGGGCAAGAGCAACCTGAAGTTTGCTGGCATGCCCATCACCCTGACCATCTCCACCAGCAGCCTCAACCTCATGGCGTCCGACTGCAAGCAGGTGAGAGCAGGGGGGAATTGTGCCAGGGTCTTCAGGTGTGCAGGAGTCCTGCTGAGGGACAGGGGATGTCCCCAGCCTCTTAGGAGATGTCTTGGTGGGCTGTGAGCTGCTGGGTGCCCATCTCCCCCCCCAGACCCTGGAGGCAAAGAGGTTGGGGCGATGCCCCAGAGGCTGAGGGACCAAAGTCCCCCGGCCTGGGGCCAGTTGGTTTTGATCCCGCTCCCTGTGGCCCTGCTGGTGCCCCAAACCTTCTCCTGGTGGCCTGTGGCTCAGAACAGCACAGTGTGGAGGAGCGTGTACTGGGAGGAGTGTGTACTGGGAGGAGCAGGAGGTGCCACAGAGGCGCTCCTGGCTGTGTCCAACACCCTCTCTGCCTTGCAGATCATTGCCAACCACCACATGCAGTCCATCTCCTTCGCTTCTGGGGGAGACCCGGTGAGTACAGGGGGTCCCCATCGCGTGTGCCCTGCCCCAGGCTGCGGCTCGGTGCCTCCCTGCACCCGCCTCACCCCTGGTGTCTCACCCACAGGACACGGCCGAGTACGTCGCCTACGTTGCCAAAGACCCCGTCAATCAGCGAGGTGAGGCTGCTCTGGGGGCGTTGAGGCTCAGCTCAGGGTGGCACCGGGCCCCTGCGCAGGGCAGGCTCAAGGAGGGGAGGACTTAGAACCATAGAATGGGTTGGGTTGAAAGGACCTTAAAGCTGAACCATCTCAGGTTCATCTCAGGACACCTTCCACTAGAGCAGGGTGCTCCAGCCTGGCCTTGAGCACTGCCAGGGATGGGGCAGCCACAGCTTCTCCGTTCAACCTGTTCCAGTTCCCCACCACCCTCACAGGGAAGAGCTTCTGCCTAAGAGCTCAGCTCAGTCTCCCCTCGGGCAGGTTCAAGCCATTCCCCTTGCCCTGTCCCTGCAGGCCCTTGTCCCAAGCCCCTCTCCAGGTTTCCTGCAGCCTCTCCAGGCACTGGAGCTGCTCTAAGAAGCAAGCCTCGGACGTCAGATCTCATTTGTCATGTCTGTTGCAGCCTGCCATATCCTGGAGTGCCCCGAGGGCTTGGCGCAGGATGTGATCAGCACCATTGGGCAGGCCTTTGAGCTGCGCTTCAAGCAGTACCTGAAGAACCCCCCGAAGCTGGTGACACCCCACGACAGGTAAGGGCAGTGGAGGGGGAGGCTGCCTGGCTTTGGAGGGGGGTGTCAGCTGCTCACCTGGGCCATGACTCCCCCCCCCCCCAGGATGGCTGGGTTTGATGGATCTGCCTGGGATGAGGAAGAGGAGGAGCCAGCCCCCGATCACCAGTACTACAACGATTTCCCTGGCAAGGAGCCTCCCATTGGGGGGGTCGTGGATATGCGGCTGCGAGACGGGGCTGCTCAGACCCCCAATCACTTGGGGGCCACACTGGTAAGGCTCTGGGCATGGCCCTGTGGGGAGTTGCATGGTCCAAGGGCGATGCAGGGACCCTGTGGTGTGTGTCTCCCCAGCACCTCTATCCCAGGGGGTGCCTGGACGGGGTGGGCAGTGCAGGGGGGCCTCACCTCCACCTCTCACTGCAGCCCGTCGGCCAGGCCAGCGGGGAGTACGACCCCCAGAAGCAGCATGCTCCTGCCCAAGGTAACGGGATGGCTGCGGCTGGTCCCCATCTGCCTGCCTGCACACAGTGGGTGCTGGGTTTGGGGCTGGAGCCCTGCTCACCACAGTGTTCTTGGCAGGAGGGAGAGAGAAATACCCGGCTCCGGTGGGTGCATCCGGCCGCACGGACCTGTTTGATGACCCATCTTATGTCAACGTGCAGAACATGGACAAGGCCCGGCAAGCATCGGCTGCCAGCACCCCTGCGACAGCCAACGGTAGCACTCAGAGAGACCTCTTTGACATGAGTGAGTAGTGCGGGGCTTGGGGGGGGGCAGTGGGTTTGGCCGTGGTCCCACCCCAGCTCCTCTCTCCCTGCAGAGCCTTTTGAAGATGCCCTGCGTGTGCCCCCGTCCGTGCCCGTGGGGCTACCCCCTGCCCAAGTGGTGGCCTCCATGGAGGAGCAGCTGAGACGAGAGCCCTGGTACCATGGGAAGATGAACCGCAAGGAGGCCGAGAAGCTGCTGAAGGTGAACGGAGACTTCCTGGTGCGGGAGAGCACCACCACGCCGGGGCAGTACGTGCTGACCGGCCTGCAGGGTGGGCAGCCCAAGCATCTGCTGCTCGTCGACCCCGAGGGAGTGGTGAGTCCATGCAGCGCCCCAGGGATGGAGCTTGGCACCGTTTTGGGGGGTTTCAAGAGCCTCGAGGGCTCCCGGGGGATGCCTCTGGGTTGGTTTGGGGGCTGGAGGGGGCCTGGGGCTGTTTGGGGGCTCCTTGGGCCTCCTGTTGGCAGCAGCAGCCTCCTGAGTGTCCCTCCCCTGGCCCCCAAGGTGCGGACAAAAGACCATCGCTTCGAGAGCGTCAGCCACCTCATCAGCTACCACATGGACAATCACCTGCCCATCATCTCAGCCGGCAGCGAGATGTGCCTGCAGCAGCCTGTGGAGAGGAGACTCTGAGTGCCCCGGGGCGCATCCCCCCGGCCCTGCTCCCTACCCACGGCACCCTTGGACTCTGAGCCGGGTGCTCTGCCGGGACTGAGCATGGACACGGCCGGGGCCTGTCCCCGCTGGTGGGGTGCGAGCTGCCGGTGTGGCCAAAGGGGGGTCTCTTGTTGCCAAAGCCCTGCTGTGCCCCCTAGCTCCAGCCTTCACACAGCAGCTCAGTTCCTGCCACAGCCTGGCCCCGCTGCTGGGCCACGGCCGCTCACACCCAATGGCATGGGCATGGGAATGGCGGAGCTGAGCCCCCGGGGTGCAGAGGGGGGCACAGCCCCCCCCCAGCCCCGTTCTGACTGTACCCGGTCACTTTACGTGTTAACTCTGTGCCTTGACCCGCAGGTCCCACACTCTTATGCAATGGTGGGGGGCTGGGGATGGAGCCCCCCCCCCCTCCCCGTGCTCCCAGCCCCACCGTGCTCCTTCCTGGGATGTGCCCCGGCAGCCGGGGGGTGGCGGGAGGGCCCCCCCCATGCATGGTGTTCCTCCCCAAGCCAAAGCGCAGCCCTGCCCCGGGCCCTGCTCTACCAAAGGAACCGGCGCTCGGTATTAAAGTTGGTATTTCTCTAGGCTGTGCCTGGTGTCACGGCGGCACCGGCCGCGGCGTCGCGCAGCCAGCGGCACATGGCTCCCCCCGCGCCTTCCCCGTGGTCCGCTCCGCTCCCCCCCACCGGCGCTGACGTTGTTCGTCACGCCCAGCGCTGGTGTTGGTGCGCTTCCCCCCCCCTGCGGGCCTATGTACATGGTTCATCCCATTGCGGGCCCCCTCTCAGCATCGCGCTGCGCTTGGGCCGCGCTGTGATTGGCTGCGCACCGCCCTCCTGAGCGGTGATTGGTTCTGCCGGACCGCTCCGCCCTTCCTCGCGGTGATTGATTGGCTCTGCCGCGCCCCTCGTGCTGTGATTGGCTCCGCGCGGGCCCCGGTTGCGGGTGGCGGCGGCGGGGCCATGGCGCGGTGGCGGCGGTGAGGGCCATGGCGGCCCCGCACGCGGAGAAGCTGGAGGGAGGCGTCCCGGCCCCGCCGCCCCCCCCGGGGCCCCCGCACCCCGCGGGCAGCGCCGCCGCCGGCGGGCCCGGCCGCAAGCAGGGGAAGGCAGGTGAGCGCGGGCGGACCGGGACCGGGACCGGGCGTGAGGACGGGGGGGGGGCCGGCACCGGCTGACGCGGCCCCGCTTGTCCCCGCAGGGCTGCAGATGAAGAGCCCCGAGAAGAAGCGGCGCAAATCCAACACGCAGGTAGGGCACGGGCCGGCAGCGGGGCCGCGGCTGGGAGCGGGGCCGCGCTGAGCGCCGCCGCCTCCCGCCGCAGGGCCCCGCCTATTCGCACCTCTCGGAGTTCGCGCCGCCGCCCACCCCCATGGTTGACCACCTGGTGGCCTCCAACCCCTTCGAGGACGACTTCGCGGCGCCCAAAGCGGGCGCAGCCGCCGCCGCCTCCTTCCTCGGCAGCCCCGTCCCCTTCGGCGGCTTCCGCGTCCAGGGCGGGATGGCCCCGCAGGTGCCCCCCGGGTACGGCGGCGGCGGCCCCCAGCCCCTGCGGCGCCAGCCCCCGCCCTTCGCCCCCGGGCAGATGGGCCCGGCCTTCAGCATGGCCCCGCAGGGCCCCGGCTATGGGCAGCCGGGCGCCGTGGGCTTCCCGGGGCAGCCCTTCGGGCAGCCGCTGGGGCCGAGCTTCAGCCCGCCCGGGGCGCCGCTGCTGCAGGGGCCGGTCGGCAGCTTCGGGCCCATGATCTCCCCGACGCTGGGGCAGCCCCCGCGGGGGGACCTGGGCCCCGGCCCGGCGCTGAACCCGCCCCCCGGGGGCCCGGCCGTGGGGCAGCGCTTCGGGCAGCCCGGCGGCCTCTTCGGACAATCGCCCCTGCAGCGGCCCGGGCAGGGCGGGCCCCCGCTGCCCCCCACCGCCAGCCCCTTCCCCGGGGCTGACCCCAGCTTCGCACCCGGCGGCGAGGAGGGGGGCAAGAGCCTGAACCCCCCTCCCGGCGCCTTCGCCCCGGAGCAGCACTCGGGCTCTCCCGCCGCCGTCAACGGGGCCCAGCCCGGTTTCACCCCCGGCAGCGCCGGGCGCGGCGCCGGCACCCCCGAGACCAACAGCCTCCCTCCGCCCCCGCCGGGGAAGGCAGCGGGGGGCTCGGGCCATCAGCCGCCGCCGGGGCTGGTGTACCCGTGCGGGGCCTGCCGCAACGAGGTCAACGACGACCAGGACGCCATCCTGTGCGAGGCCTCGTGCCAGAAGTGGTTCCACCGGGAGTGCACCGGGATGACGGAGAACGCCTACGGGCTGCTCACCACCGAGGCCTCGGCTGTCTGGGCCTGCGACTTCTGCCTCAAGACCAAGGAGATCCAGTCCGTGTACGTGCGGGAGGGCCTGGGACAGCTGGTGGCTGCCAACGACGGCTGAGCCGCCCCCCTGACCCTCCCCGCCACCGGCCACAGACTGACCCCGGTTCCGGCACCATCTCTGACTGGAGAGACAGGGCCAGGCACCGGCTCGGTACCGGCTGTGTCATCACCAGCCCTTTGCTGGGGAAGGGGGGGCTCCGATGGCCCCGTTATGTGCTCAGGGCAGTCCCGGTGCTCTCTTCCTCTCCCCGCTGCTCGGGATGGCCCCGGTGCCCCCCCCCCCCCCCGTTATCCCGTTTAATGGAAACTTTTGTACCGTCGCCATAAACCTCTCAATCGCGCGTGTCTGTGTCTCGCTTCGTGCCCGCCGCGGGGGGGGGCGGGGGGCGGGAAATGGGGGCGGTGTCCGGTACCGGCGGGGGGGGCCTCACGCGCCCCGCCCCGCCGCCATCCCATTGGCCGCTGGCGTCACGTGCAAGCCCCTTCCCGAGGGCGGTGACCGGCACCGGAGAAAGTTACCGGCGGGATCGCGGCACCAGGTACCGCCCCCCCCCCCTCCCCATCAGCATCACCCCTGGGCACGGAGCCGGGAGCGGGGCCGCGGCTCCAACGGGAACCGGCTTGGGGGGGGGGGGTTTGTGAAGTGGGGGTGGTGTCCACGGGGGGGTTCGGAGCCCCACGGGCCGGTTCCGGGTCCCTGAGTGGTGGCGGGGGCTGCCCCTGTACCCGGTACACCCGTTCCCACCCGGTACCGCCGCCTCCCCGCGGGGCTCGGTGCCCCCGCGCCGGGCCCTGTGTCCCCCCCCCAGGCCGGGTCCGGTGTCCCCCATCCACCTGCCCGGCGGCATCACGCGGCTATAAATACCCGTGTGATAGAAACCACGGGTATAAATGGAGCAGCTGCTGCCGGTGGAGGGGGCCCGGGGTGGGGGGGTGGCTGCCTGCGAGCACCGGCGCTGTCCAGTCCGGTCCGATCCGGGTCGGGTCGCGTCCCTCTGCCCGTCTCCCTGCAGGTGGCTCCGGGCCGGGCCCATGGCGGAGAAACCAGAGCCCCGGGACTCGGAGAGCAGCAGCCGGGAGCCGGTGCGCAGCGAGGTGAGGGCCGGGCTGCGGGCACGGGGGGAGAGGGGCCGGGACCGAAGGTGCCGTCACCCCCCTTTTCGCAGGGGCTGCCCGTGGAGACGCTGGGTCCGGAGCTGGAGCTGGAGCTGGAGGAGGAGGAGGAGGAGGATGAAGGCAGCCGGGACCCCGTCACAGGCAGGCAGCAGCGTGGGGCCGGCGCTCGCCGCCGCTCTCTCAATCCTCCGTCAGTGGCCGTCGAGGCCGCAGCCGTTTCCCCCGTCCCCGCGGGGCTTGGACCGAGCGGGGACCTGGAGCCTGGGTTCCTGCCGGGGGAACGTGGGACCCCGCAGCACCCGGAGAGGCACCAGGAGCCCGGGGCCGAGCCCCCTCGGGCTGGCTCCGCAGAGCCCGGTGGTGACGAGCAGGAAGAGCCCGGTGCTGAGCCCGATGCCGGGGCTGAGCCCCCCGCTGCCGGTCAGGCCCTGCAGGGGCCGGGCAGGGGGAGCCATGCTGGGGGGCAGCCCCTCCCTGCAGGTGCCCGTCCCTCCCCAGAGCCACCAGTGGAGGAAGGGACCTGCACCAGCAGCGATGATGACGTGGAGGGGCTGCGGCAACGGCGGGGCCACGAGCCCCGTCCTGGGTCACCCCCTCCAGTGCCAGCCCTGTACCGGGGGACTCCAGGCACTGGGGATGAGGACGGGCTCAGCATGAGCAAGTACCTGCTGGGGGCTGTGGCGCTGGTGGCCGTGGGGCTGCTGATTGCGTGCGGTGAGTGGGGTCCTGGGGCAGGATGGGGGCCCTGGGGCAGGGTTGGGGCCCTGCATCCCCCTCATCATCCCTTCTTGTCCCCAGGTGGCATCTACGACCCAGCAGATGGTGGGTGCTGGGCAGGATGTGGGCACACGGCAGCATGCATGTGGCTGTGGTTCGATGCCTCCTTCCTGTCTGGTTCCACTCCCCAGACCCCACGGAGCACGTGGTGAACCGGGATGTGGCAGCCGGGGAGCAGGAGCCGCTGCTGCCCATTGACAGCAATGTAAGGAGGAGCCCGCAGCGGAGCTGAGCCCCCCCCGAGCTGACCAGGGGCAGGCGGCACCCCTGGCTCCGTCCTTCCTCTCCCCCAGGCCTCGCAGAAGAAGCTGCCACCGTCGGGTGCCAGGGACCCGCAGAGCGCGCAGTCCCTGAGCCTGCTCCTGGACAAGCTGGCCAAGGAGAACCAGGAGATCCGACTCATGCAGGCAGAGCTGCAGGTGGGCCTTGGGGAGCCGGTGCCGCGCCCCGGTGCTGCTGCTCCCATCCCACCTCGCTCACGGCCCCGCTGCCCCCCAGGCCCACAAGGACGAGCTGCAGGTGCTGCTGCACAAGAGCGAGGGCAAAGCGGCGGCGGCCGGGGCGCAGCGGCAGAGCCTGGAGGCAGAGAACGCGCGGCTCCGGGCGGCGCTGGAGCGGGAAGCGGCCGCGCTGCGGCAGGCCCGGGCTGAGCTGCAGCACCTGCGGGGGGCTGCGGCACCGGAGCAGCCCCCGGGCCCCAGTGGGGATGCAGCTCGGCGCGAGGGCCCGCGGTTGGCGTCGGTGCGGAGGGAGCTGGCGGCGGCCCTGGAGCGGGCACGAGGCGCTGGGGGGCTCGAGGCGCTGGCGGCGGAGCTGAGCGCCCTGGAGCAGCGCCTGGGCCGGGAGCTGGAGGCGGGGGGGCCCTGGAAGAAGCCGTTCAAGGCAGAGAAGAAGGAGAGCAAGCGGCACAAGCGGCACGGTGCCAGCGAGCGCGAGAGGAGGGGGCACAGCAAACCCTATGGGCACGGCAAGGACGGGCAGTTCCCCCGGGAGCACAAGCAGGGCAAAGCCTGGGGGAAGCCATCACAGGGGCCCCCCTTCAGCCGGTACCGGGCACCCCAGGGCTGCGTTGGGGTGGCTGAATGCGCCCGCAAGGAGGGCCTGGAGGTGCTGGGGGCTGCGTTGGAGCCGGTGCAGAAGAGCCAGTTCCTGCGGTTGCTGGAGGGGTTCATGGGGCGGCTGGGCTGGGGGCGGCACTTTGGGGGGGTGGCGGCGCAGCTGGATGGGGCCTTCGGACCCGATGGGGCCTTTGCCCACGACCGCCTGCGCTTCACCGAGTTCGTGGAGGAGGTGGAGGAGATGCTGGAGGCGGTGGCGCGGCGCGAGCGGGGCGACGAGGATGCGGCCGATGGCTTCGAGGAGTTTGTGCTTAGCCACTACCGCAGGTGAGGGGCAGCGGGACCGGGGGGGGAGCGCGGGGCTCAGCCCTTGCTCCCCTTCACAGCCCCCCCTTTCTCTTGCAGCACCGGTGGGAAGGAGCGAGGGTGGAGACCCCCTGGCACCGCAGGGTAGAGCCGGGGTGGCTGCCCCATAGCAGCCTTGGCCCAGCAGCCCCGTGAAGGGGTCTCCACGGGCTGTTTTGGGGGGGCTGCCATTGCACCCCATAGAGGCCGGGTCCCCAACAAGACACAGTGAGATTGATGCTGCTGCCACGCAATAAAGTCACCGCTGGGCAGAGCCGTGCCTGCTGCGGGGGAAACGGCGTGCGGGGGGAAATGGGGAGCGGGGAGGGAAGGGGGCGCTGGGGAAAGGGGGTAGCGGTGCGGGGGGGGCCAGGGCAGGTTTTGGGGTGCTCCCTGTGCCCGCCCGCCCTGCAGGGGGCGCCGTGATGCGGGCGCGCCGCCGGAGGGGCGGAGTCAGCGGCGCCCCGCCCCGCCCTCCTCGGGCCGTACCATCGGACTCTCCTCCGGGGGGGGGGGGGTGCGTGGCCGGGGCGCGGATGGCGGCTCCGCGCGTGGTGCTGCTGCTGAGCGGGAAGAGGAAATCGGGGAAGGATTTTGTGGCCGAAGAGCTACGGGGCCGGTACCGGGGGATGGGGGGGAGGTACCGGGAGGTGGGGCTGGGACCTGGGGGCGGGGCCGCTGGTACCGGGGGCGGGTCGGTGCCGGGTGATGGGGCTGGTACCGGGGGCGGGTCGGTACCGGGTGATGGGGCTGGTACCAGGGGCGGGTAGGTACCGGGGCTAGTACCGGGGGTGGGTCGGTACCGGGGCAGGTACCGGGGGGTGGGTCAGTACCGGTGTGTCGGGGCAGGTACCGTGCCCAGTGCCGGTGCCTCTTGACTCCTCTCCCACAGACTGGGCCCCGATGTCTGCACCGTGCTGCGCCTCTCCGGACCCCTCAAGGAGCAGTATGCCAAGGTACGGTGCCAGGATGCACTTGGCTGAGCCGTGCTGAGCTGTGCAGTCCTGCTCTGAGCCAGACCATGCCGTGCCGCACCATGGCATGTGCCGTGCCCCCTGACCCCGTATCCCTGCAGGAGCATGGCCTGGACTTCCAGCGGCTCCTGGACGCCAGCGCCTACAAGGAGGCGTTCCGGCAGGACATGATCCGCTGGGGCGAGGAGAAGCGCCGCGCCGACCCCGGCTTCTTCTGCAGGGCAGCAGTGGAGGGAGCGGCGCAGCCGGTGTGGGTGAGCCGGGAGGGACACGGGGGCACGTGGGATGTGGAGGCTCTGGGACGGGCGCTGACAGAGCCCCTCAAAGGTGGTGAGCGACACGCGGCGCCTCTCGGACGTGGAGTGGTTCCGGGATGTCTATGGTGACGTGGTGCAGACCGTGCGGGTGGTGGCCACCGAGGAGACAAGGAAGAGGAGGAACTGGGTCTTCGTTGCTGGTGAGTGTGGTGCTGAACCCAGGGCTGCCCCATAGATGGATCTGCCCCTGGCCCCTGGCTGTGGGAGCTGGAGGGTTCAGGTGAAGCCCCCCAGCTCCATGGGCTGAGGCTGTGGCAGGGGATGGACAGGGCCTGGCCGGGGTTGGGGCCTCACCTGGGCTCTGCTCTTCCCCAGGGGTGGATGACGCCGAGTCCGAGTGTGGCCTGGACCAAGGACTGAGCTTCGACTGGGTGATCACCAACGATGGGGATGAGCTGTCCCTGGACCAGCAGCTGGAGACGCTCCTGCAGGCGCTCCGCAGCCGCCTGTAGCTGTGGCCTCTCTCCCGGTGCTGGGGGGAGCCCCAGATCCCCCCTCGTGCCTGCGCTGGAAGTAAAGCTCTGACACCAAGAGCTGATGCCACCCGGCTCCGTCTCACTTCCCTTGGGAAGGGTGTTCACGTGGGGCTGGGGACACAGGTGATGCCCCTCGGGGTGCCCCCCCCCAGCTTTGTGGAGTAAGGGCAGAGGTGCAGTTTAATTAATGGGGGGGTCACCAGCTGGGCGCTTTGTGGTGTATTTTAATAGGCTTCCAGCAGCCAATTCCCTGCGGATTATCCGTTTCCCAAGCAGACGGCTCCCGCCCTAATACCTGCTCCTCTCTTGCAGCAGCTGGGCAGGGCCGGGGGGGTCCTGAGGGGTTGCAGGGTGAGAGGGATTTGGGTCCTATCACCCCTAAATCCATCGCTGGGGCGTGAACCCTGGGTTCTGGCATCGCCCCCGATTCCCCTCGGGGACATCCTGGGGGACACAGGGGGTGACCTGGTTGGAGATCATGGAGGGAGGGGCGGGGGTGCCCTCCCGGTGCCTTCGGAGGGGGCTCGGTGCGCGCGGGGCATCCCCCGGGGAGGGAGGATGGGCGGAACCGGCGGACTACAAGTCCCGAACGACCCCGCAAGAGACGCAGGGACCGGGGGCGCGGGGTGCGGGGGGGAGGGGGGGGACACGAAGCGGGGAGCGGGCGGTGATGATGTCAGCCTGCGGGGAGCCCCGGCGCGGCCAATGGCGCGGCGGGGCCGGGCCAGCGGCGGCGGCGACGGGGGCGGCGGCGGCGGCGAGCGCGCGGCAGCGGCGAGCGCGCGGCGCCCATTCATGATCCAGCGCGCGGGGCCGGTGCCCGGTAAAACGGAGCCGGTGCCCGGTGAAGCGGCGCCGCCGCCGCCGCCGTCATGGAGACATCGGGGCATCTGCACGACTCGGGCGTGGGGGACCTGGAGGAGGACGGCCGCTGTCCCTGCCCCTTACCGGGGGATGAGCGGCCGCCGCCTCCCGCCGCGCTGCCGCCGCTCCAGCACAGCCTGTTGCACTCCTCGCCCGGGTCGCTGCGGGCCCCTCCTCCTCCTCCCGCCGCCCCCGCCGCCCTCCACCCTTCCTCCCGCCACGGCAGCCAGCTCAACCTCGGCGACCACCCGGCGGGCTCCGGGGCGGCGAGCGGCAAGCACCGGCAGCCCAGCCCGCTGGTGCACCGGCGGGACAGCAACCCCTTCACCGAGATCGCCATGAGCTCCTGCAAGTACAGCGGCGGCGTCATGAAGCCCCTCAGCCGGCTCAGCGCATCCCGGCGGAACCTCATCGAGGCCGAGCCGGAGGCGCAGCCCCTGCAGCTCTTCGGTGCCGGGGCACCCCCCGAGATCGTCGTCTCACGCGAGGACAACCACGCTCCCGCCGCCCGCTGCCCCAGCCGCCCGCCGGCTCACCCGGCCCCCGCCACCTTTGCCAAGGGGCCCAAGCGCAAGGCGCAGAACATCGGCTACCGGCTGGGGCACCGCCGGGCGCTCTTCGAGAAGAGGAAGCGCCTCAGCGACTACGCGCTCATCTTCGGCATGTTCGGCATCGTCGTCATGGTCATCGAGACCGAGCTCTCCTGGGGGCTCTACTCCAAGGTACAGACGGGGCCAGAGCTTGGGCGCGGGGCTGTCGGTGCTATTCGGTGCCCGGCTGGGTGAGCATGGCACTGTGTGCCCCAGACGGTGTCCCGTGGGATACGCGTGGAGCCGCTGGCTCTGTGAGCCATGGGACGCGGCTGGATGGGGACGCTGCGGCCGCAGGTGCCAGACGGGGCTGTGGCCACCGGGGCCGCGTGGCAGCCGGTGTGTGCCCGGTGCCTGGGCAGGCGCTGCCTCACATGCCAGCAGGACTGAGGACAGACCCACACGGGTCTGCGGTGCCCATGGGCGGCCTGGCTGGGTGCCCCTCGAGGCGCTGTGCCCTCGGCGCTGCTCAGAGCCCCATCTCCCTCCTCCTCCGCCTCCTCCACACCCTTTTCTTCCATTTTTTCCCCTCTTTTTCTTTTTTTGCAGGACGGTGTCTTTTATTTATAATTCTCCCCCCCACGCCCCTTCCAGCTCCTGCTCCCGGGCTGCGCTGGTTGGCAGCGATATGAATAACTCTTTGTATAGACATCTGTCATGTTATTTATACCTATCCAGAGAGGGGAAGGCATCGGCACCCGCGCCGGCAAAGGGCGTGTGTGGCACCCATGGGCGTCAGCGGGACGCTGCTGAGGGGGCCGGGGGCAGGAGCCGGTGGGAAGGGGCCGCTCGCTGCTTCCTGCTATTATCCAGCGCGGGCGGTGGGGAGGGTGGCGCGGGCAGAGGCAGCGATGGAGCTGGAGCAGGTGGAAGGAGGGAGCGAGGGACGCGGCTGGGGGTCCCGTGGGTGTGGGGGGACCCCACGGAGGTGCCTGTCTGGAAGCGGGGGGGGGGCTCCCGGCTGCCGGCGGCGGTGGGAGCACAGGAGCCGGCAGCAGCGGTTCCCTGAGCTCTGGCGGAGGCAGAGGGATTGTTCCGTGCCGACCCCACATCCCTGGCTCCCCCGCTGGGGATGCTTCGCCTCTCTTCACCGCCACATCCTCCTCAGCGGTTCCCTTTCGGCGGCGCCAAGGCCAAACCTCGCCGCCACCCTCGCCCGGTACCTGTTGAGCCGCAGCTGCCCGCACCGGGCCCGCGTGCCGGGCACGGGGTGCCAGCGGCGCCGCGCACGCATGTGCCAGCCCCGCACGCAGCCGGGGAAGACCCCGTGAGTCAGCGCTGCCGCCCGCGGCCACCGCGACCCTGGCGCCCGCCGCGCTGCGCTGCCGGGGCCGAGCCTCGCCGCGGTCGGCAAGGGGCGGTTGTTCGTGAACGCCCCCCGCAGCCGCCGGTGGGAAACCCGAGCGGGGCCGCGGCTGTGCCCGGGCAGCTGTCGGTGCTGCCGGCCCTGGCCCTGCTCCAGCTCCGCTGCCGCCGGGGCCGAGCCGCGAAGCCGTGGCCGGGGTTTGCCGGCGCTCTCTGCCTGTCCCTCGGGGGTGGGCAAGACGCGGCCTCTCCCGCCTCCGGCGCGGCACCGCCGGGGCAAAGCATCCTCCCATCCCCACTGCGTCCCCTCATCCCTTGCCGTTGTTTGCCACCAGCAGCGGCTTTTCCTGCCGGGTCCCTCTGGACCCGGCGCTGGCAGGAGGCGTTGGGAAAGCCCTTGCCAGTAACACTTGCCAGGAGGGCCGGTGGTCCCCATGCTCTGGGGAGGCAGAGCACGGAAGGGTCTGGCTGGAGCAGCCTTAGCACGAGCCCTGCCCCAGAGTTTGCCTATTAATAGCCGTTGCTTGGTCCCCGGCACTTCTCTCAGCACCAGCCATTATATCCACACAATTGCACGGCCGGAGCCAAGTCGTTAACAATGCGCCACCGCCTCCGCGGCAAATAGTCCCTTCTTCGTGGTTAAATACCCCGCGGGGCTGGGGACACCGGGGAGAGGAGCGGGGCTGAAGGCAGCCGGATGCACTGGGGAGCAAAGGATGGGTTCAGCGTGCCATGAGCGTGCTGGCTCTCAGCGTGCGGGGTGGAGGTGCGGATGGGTGCTGGTCTGCAGATAACGCCTTGGTGAGGGGCTGCCAGTGCTCAGTAGATGCCCTGGCACCGGTGGGTCTGGATCGTGGCAGCATGAGCTTGCTGGTGACTGAATGGGATCCAGAGGCGAGCCCATAGGAGAGGACGGTGAATCCTGCTCTTACTAATTGGGTCCACTTTAGCCACCAGTGAACCAGGGGCTGATTAAATTTACATCGAGCTAATTATCAGGACTTTCTAATTAGATAATCCATTAGGGTGCCATAATATTGTGGTCATGCCAGATGCGGCCGGGGTGCTGGTGTCCATGTGGCAGCGAGGGGAGCACGGTCATTACATTTGGCAGGGTTGGATGCAAATCACATTTTGGAGACAAAGCCACTCTTGCCCATGGTGCTGGTGGTGCCGGTGGTGTCCTCGCTGCCATGCCAAGCTGCTCTGGGTGGGAGCTGGGGCTCCTGAAATGCTGGTGGAGGGTGAAGCATCTCCCTGGGAGTGCGGAGCCTGGTGCCATGGCATGTCCCCCCTAATGCCTGCCCTGCTCTTGCCTTGCAGGACTCCATGTTCTCCCTGGCCCTAAAATGTCTTATCAGCCTCTCCACCATCATCCTGCTGGGCCTCATCATCGCCTACCACACGCGGGAGGTGCAGGTAGGTCCCCATGGTGCCAGGGCTCCGGTGGGATGCGGGACCCGTGCTACAGCCTGCGTGGATCCTCCTTCCTCCCCTCCTTGAGGGGGTCTCGGGGGCACTGAGGGCTCTGCCTGGGCAGAACTGTCGGTGACTGTGGGAGGCTGCAGCAGGAAGGGCTCGGACCGGCTGAGGTGCCAAGGAAAGCTGTGAAATCCTTTCCTAATCAGGGCTGCCCACTCTCTTCCTCCCTTTGCTGGGAAATGAAAGGGCCCCCAGTTTGCTTCAGGAAGGCTGCGCTTCCCTGCAGGATCCGGCTTCGGCTCGGTGGGATGGGAGAAACAAACGGGCGGGCGGGAGAAGGAGCATCCCGGGAAGAGACCCCGCAGCCCCCAGCCCCGTGTGCTGCTGCTTTGGTTCTCGTCCTGCTCAGGGCCGGGGCTGGAGCCTCAAAGCAAATATTTGAGTGCTCTGCTCTGTGCTGGGTCATGTTTACCCCGGGGTGGCTGCTGGGGGCAGCCGGGGGGGCCGTGCCCCGGCGCTGCCGCCTTCCTCTGCTGCTTGTTGTTCTTGGGAGAGGGGTGCTTGAGCAAACCCCTTCCCCCCTGTGCTGCCCGTGTCCGGAGCCAACGGCCCTGCTCCGGAGCGCACGCGGTCCCGGTGGCTGCTGCCCCTGCGAGGGAAGGGAATGAGATCGGTTTGACTTGATTTGCTCCAGGCAAAGCCATGCTGGCTGCTGATCGCCCTATTATCTCTTAGGTGCTTCTAAAGGGATTGCTGGTAATCCGGCCGGGGATGGAAGCAGGGCTGAGGGAGCTGTAAATCCTCAGCTTCTCGTCCCTCTGGCCTAAGGGGGGGCTGTGCTCACCCTGCTGTGGCACCACCAGACCGCGCCCCCCCCCCCCAAGCCTCAACAGCAGCTTCAGCCTCTTCCTTCACTATTGAGAGACCTGGGCTCCTGGACAGGAGAAGGCTCCTTAAGGGGAGCCCCCAGAGCAGCTCCAGTGCCTAAAGGGGCTGCAGGGAACCTGGAGAGGGGCTTGGGACAAGGGCCTGTAGGGACAGGCCAAGGGGAATGGCTTGAACCTGCCCGAGGGGAGACTGAGCTGAGCTCTTAGGCAGAAGCTCTTCCCTGTGAGGGTGCTGAGGCGCTGGCACAGGGTGCCCAGAGAAGCTGTGGCTGCCCCATCCCTGGCAGTGCTCAAAGCCAGGTTGGGCACAGGGGCTTGGATCAAGCTGCTCCAGTGAAGGTGTCCCTGCCATGGCAGGGGCTGGAGCTGGAGGAGCTTTAAGGTCCTTTCAACCCAAACCAGGCTGGGATTCTGGGATTAATTGCCGAGTCCTTTGGGATGTTTGCAGCTCTCCCTGTTCTTGGTCTCTCCAGGGCTGAGGTATCACTGTGCCTGGGGCCCTGGGTTCTGCCTGTTCCCTCCCCAGCTGCCTGTGCCCACTGTCATCAATGGGCTGGGATGGCAGTGCGTCCCTGGTGTATCCCCATGTCCATTGCCCACCAGCCAGGGCTGTCTCCCCATCCTGCCAGCTCTGCTCCCTGCTGATCGCTCTGTGTGTCCCTCGCTCTTCACTGTGCTGAGCGTGTGCAGAATTGCCACCAGCACTGCTGGGTCCTCGGTGGGGGGTGTCACCAGGCTCAGCCCCATCGAGGTGGCTCTGGTCTGTACCCCCATTGCGGCTTCTCCGAGGCTTCACTCGTGTTTCACTTGATCAGAGCAATGGTGATCCCTAGGCTTGCTTCTTCCAGTGCTCCGATGCTGGGGATGCTGAAATGTTGGGATGCTGGGGATGCCCCGCTGGGTACTGCTGGACCGCGCCAGGGTTTCCATGGAAACCCGCAGCGATGTGCTGATGTGCCGCCGGTCCAGGGCTGAGAGGGGCTGGTGCAGGGTGACCTGCCTGAATCCCTCCTTGCTCCTTCCCTTGCCCAACCTGGCCCATTGAAACCCCCCCACCATCGCAGCCAAAGGGCTCCCTGCCTTTTTCCTCTCGCTAATTTGTTTATTTTTAACACCCTTTTCCAGGAAGGAATGGGCTGTCAGCTCGCTAAATGCCTGAGGATCTCCCCTGACAGCTTGGAGCAGTTCTATAAACAAGCTCTCAAACAAAGCAGCTCAAAGGAGTGGAGCTTTCCCAATAGAAAGGGAGGTGGCTGGGGACGGCTGCTCCATGAGTCAGTCCCCTTGGGGACAGCCCTATGTGCCATGCGGTGCTGTGCAGTGCCATGCAGTGAGGTGCCTGCCACAGGGGCAGGAGGGTTGTTTCTGGCTCCTACGCATGGCCTGGAGGAGCCAGAATGGCTCCATGCTTTACAGGGTAGAGGACACAGCGGTGATGGTAGCGCTGGCTGCCACATCCCCCTTGGATCCCTTCCCAGGGGTGCCTTTGCCAAGCACTGCTTGTGGAGAGGCCTTGAGTGTGTCCCCGGGGCTGTGAGTGCCACCAGTGTCCCCGCTGCACCCGCCGTGAGCTGATGGCAGCCTTGGGAAGGACCCACCGATGGAGTGGGTGACCCCCTGGGCTCGGGCAGCGTCGCAGAGGGACCAGCCCCAGCTGCCATCCCGCAGCTCCAGCAGAATCCCTGACTCCATCACCACCACTGGTGGTGGGATGGGAGCTGGTACCCAGGATGAACCAGCGGTTGCTATGACAACCGGATCCCATCGCTGCCAGTGGCCGGGTGCTCTGTCTGTGGCGCTCCCCCCCCCACCCTGGCACTCAGGCTGTGGTGGCAGTGAAGGGTCTGGGCATGCTGGGGCTCCACTGCATGGGAGTGGGTAGGAGAGAGTTGTCCCTATGCCTGGTGCGTGCTCCAGGCACCATAAAGCTCTCTGGCGTGTCTCCAGCACTGTGACCATCCCTAAACACAGCGGGAGAGCAGCGGAGGGGATGGTGAACGCTCATTTCCACGTTTTCCTTTCCCATCCATCCCCAGCCCTTCTGGCCAAAGGCATCCCTAGCTCTGCAGGGCTCTGTTGCCGGTCCTCGCCGCTGCCCATGGTGTGATGCTGGTGGGGCACTGTTTACCAGGGCCACTGGTAACCGTATGGTTTTGCATCCTGGTAGCTCTTTGTGATCGACAATGGCGCTGACGACTGGCGGATAGCGATGACGTACGAGCGCATCCTCTACATCAGCCTGGAGATGCTGGTTTGTGCCATCCACCCCATCCCCGGGGAGTACAAATTTTTCTGGACAGCCCGCCTGGCTTTCTCCTACACGCCTTCCCGCGCAGAGGCAGACGTGGACATCATCCTGTCCATCCCCATGTTCCTGCGCCTCTACCTGATCGCCCGTGTGATGCTGCTGCACAGCAAGCTCTTCACCGATGCCTCCTCACGCAGCATTGGAGCGCTCAACAAGATCAACTTCAACACCCGCTTTGTCATGAAGACTCTCATGACCATCTGCCCTGGGACAGTGCTGCTGGTCTTCAGCATTTCCCTGTGGATCATCGCTGCATGGACGGTCCGGGTGTGCGAGAGGTGAGAGCAGCTGCTCACGATGTGTGCTGGTTTGGGATGGTCAATGGGGTCCCAGCACCCTGTGTGAGGGGTGCATAGTTCTGGGGGCTCAGCAGCCACCACACCGCACCAGTAAGCCCCAGAAGCAGGAGGCAGAGGCAGTGCAGGTCAGGGTGTGAGGGGATGCTGAGGAGCTGGTGTGGGAGCCCCAGGGCAATGGGGGGAGCAGGAGGAGCTGGGGGTGCTGTGAGGCTGGCGAGTGGCAGTGCCTGGTGCGGGCTCTGGCAGTCGCTGGGAGTGACTGCCATGACAACACTGTGGTGACAAACCCACTGCCGGATGGCATCACACCGCCATTGGTGCGCTGGGTGCGGGGTTGCTGTAGCGACCAGCCCTGGTGGGTACCGCTGCTCCTCCATCTCCTTTGTCCCCCGAGGGGAACTAGGAGGCTCTTGTGGGGCACTCCCAGCCCTCCCCAGCGCTGTGCTGCAGGGGTGCAGGGTACCAGCAGTGTCTGTGCAGCCTGGGGGTGTGTGTCCCATCCCAGCCATCCCTGTCTCCAGAGGCTGGGCTCGGGGCCGTGCTGCCATCACAGCTTGGCTAATTGCCCCAGAGGGCATTTGGGATAACACCGTGGACAACACATACGTTGTGATTCGGTGTCTGTGGATTTGCACCGGAATCCCTTGAAGTTGTTGTGGCAGCTTTGTGCCATCCTTGGAACTGAGGTGTGAGAGATGGCACCTGTGGCACCCAGGGACCCCTGGGGCCCCCAGCTTGGGGCTGAGTGCTTACAAGGCTGGATGAGGCCACCCCTCCTCTTCCCTAAGGTGGGACTCATCGTGCTTGTCACCTCGTGAAGAGGCATTAGAGCAGCAGAGCGGAGCGGCACGCTGAGATTTGACAAGTCTCTATAGGCTGTGTTTGCCTCCGTGTCTCCCGCAGGGATGTTCTGGGGGCGCGCTGGATGCTCGTGCACCACTTCTTTGTGTTTGTGAGATCTTTATTTGGGCCTCCTAAATGGGGAGCAGGTGACCGTGCTCCCCAGGGGGTTGATTCTCCACCTGGGGGTGGGCTTAGGCTGGAAAATGCAAAGTACATAAAGAACCAGTAGCAACAGGGGAAAAAAGAGCCTGGAATGACGCAGACGAGGCGCTGCAGATCACCGGCACCGCAGCTGCCGCCACCTCGCTCTGTCTGATGGCAACCTGGGGCGGGGGGGGGGGGGCGCTCAGAGCTCGGCTGAGGATGCAGCGACCCCTGCACCCTCCCCTCCATCCCTGAGGACCGCACCACCGCTGGGTCCACAAAGCTCCCACGGAGGCCGCGTCCCCGCCGGTTTCCCGTTCCCACCGGAGCGCAGAGGTGGCTCCGCGGCAATGGCACCGTGCGCTGCCGGGCGCCCCGCAGTGCGTGCCGGGGGGCACCGCGCACCGAAGGCAGCGAGTCGCTTAGCAACCTCGCCCGCTCGCCGGCCACGCAGCGCAGCGCTGCGGGCGATGCCGGCCCCGCCGCTGACGGCACCCGCGTGTGCTCACGCACACGTGCGCTCTCACACACGTGTGCCCACACACACGTGTGCCCACACGTGTGCTCACTCACTCCCAGGGTGAGGGTGCAGCCACGATGCTGCTGCCCAGACGTGAGGGGTTGGTTCAGCCGAGCTGGTGCGGGATGCTCCGTGGGACCGGCAGGGCAGCCCCATGGCAGGGAGTGCCTGTGCCCTTAGTGGGTGAGGGAAATGGGTTCTGGGGTGTAACTGATGGCGGCAGCTCCTCTTCCTGCCCCTCCTGTTTATCAGCTTGAGTGTCCACTTACTTGGGGGGAAAAACATTTCAGAAGGGGAGAAAACCCAACTGCTCCAGGAGCGAGGAGCTGGGATAAACCGGGGGGGGAGGGGGGGGGTAACTGCCAAAAGCTCCATCTGTTTTCCCTCTAGTGATTTCATGAGGAGGTCAGGAGAAGCCTGTTGGGGAGAGGGATGTGTGCAGGCAGTGAGGGTGACAGGGTGAAGGTGCTGCCTGTGCCTCAGTCCTGCTGCACTGCCAGGAAGCAGCGCTGCATCCCTTGGGAAGCATCACCTGGAGCCTTAGCAGGACCCACTGCTGGTCCCCGGTGTGGCACAGAGGGCTCAGTGTGGGATGCAGAGCAGGATGCAGAACAGGATGCAGAGTGGGATGCAGAGCAGGATGCAGAGCAGGATGCCGGCGGGGAGCTGGCGCAGTTGGGGGCTTTGCAGCTGTTTCTCCCATCAGGCGGCTCTTTCCGCCACGCCACGTGGCACCGGGGACGCCGGCGGCGGGACCGGGACGTGGTGACAGCTCTGACAGGAAGCAGAAGCCTTTTCCGCTGAGTTCTGACTCTGATTCTGTCCATGTGGTTTTTCCGTAGGCCAGGAATTGTGCAACCGCTGCTGCTGGGGGGCATCTGCCACGCTCTTAATCCCTCTTCCCCACTGCATAGCCTTGTGCTGGGGCAGCCGCCATGCCCAGCTGCACCCATTGCTCCCCATCCCCTGCCCCGACACTGATGCCCGTGTCCCCTTGGCAGGTACCATGACCAGCAGGATGTAACCAGCAACTTCCTGGGTGCCATGTGGCTCATCTCCATCACCTTCCTCTCCATCGGCTATGGTGACATGGTCCCACACACCTACTGCGGGAAGGGTGTATGTCTGCTCACTGGCATCATGGTAAGGGCCGTGCTGAGCCGGTTGCCCCCGCTGTGGGCTCTGCCTGTGCCAGCACGGCAGAAGGGCCGCCGGGTTTTACAGGGACCTGCTTCCCAGCTGGGTTGTCCTTGCACAGGGCACAAGGGCTTCAGCTTTGAGGGCTCCTGCGACCTGATAGAGCTGGGATTAGGGGACGCGGAGGTTTGGTTCAGGAGGTGATGGTTCAGATGGAGCTGTCTCCAGCACCCAGCTCTGTGCCCCTTGGCTCCAGGCTTTGGGTTGGAGCCATTCCCCCTCCCTGCTCCACCAGCAACTGTTAATTTTCCATTATCTGAAGTCTTTGATCTGTGTCCATGGAGTCAGGCACCAGAGAGGCCCAAAGGAGATGGGCAAGGGGGAAAATACCTCTTGGAGGGGGGGCTATAGCGTTTCCCAGCTGAATGAGGGGTCCCGGAGCATCCCACAGCCCCGCCAGGAAGGGGGAAGTGGTGGGAGCAGGAAGCTTGGGGGCTGCTGCAGGATTCAGCTCAGAGCCTGATGTTAATTAATGACTCTTTAATAAATTAAGGAGCGTTTGCCAGGATTGTGGAGCTTCTGCCAGGCGACGGGAGGGGGGAGCAGCTCAGCTGGTGCAGGCAGAGCACCCAAGCACCGCAGGGAGTGGGGGCTTTGGTGCCTTTGCTTTCCAAAGGCAAATATGTCCCGGAGATGATGGGATCCAGCCCTAATCGCTGGGATAATCAAGCTCCCAGCTGTCGCTGTTGGGAGATGCAGCAATTTGGGAGGGGGGGGATCCTGATTCCAGGCTCCCCTTCCCTGCCCTCCCACAGGTTGCTGGTGCTTCCCCACTGCTCTCCCACCCTGGAGCTGGAGGGTCCCAATCCCACCGGGCACTACCACAGGGCACCAGCTGTGGTGGCACTGGTAAAGCAGGCTCAGCCCTGCCGTTAACGGGTGCTGGGGAGGCAAAGGCTCACCAGTGCTCAGTCATCCCCAGCCCATCCCGTTACTGACCCAGCACATCCCCAAGGACACTCTGTGATACTGAGGATGAGGTGGTTGGGGGGTGCACGGAGCTTTAATGAATGAGGGGGTTGCAATGGAGGGGGTGCAGCAGGATGCTGGAGGGTGACAAACCATGACCCTGCCTGCTGTCCCTGCACAGGGTGCCGGCTGCACGGCACTGGTGGTGGCTGTGGTGGCCAGGAAGCTGGAGCTCACCAAAGCTGAGAAGCACGTCCACAACTTCATGATGGACACGCAGCTGACGAAGCGGGTAAGGTGCCACGGGAGACAGGGGTGGGGATACCACAGTGAGTGCAGGTCCCATGGGTACCAAATCTGAGGGCCTGGGATGCAACGGAGGAGCAGTGTTATGGGGGGAGCAAGCGGCACCAGCTCCGTGTCAGGGATTTAGGCGATGCGGGATACTTGGGGAGGAAAAGCCTGTGGATTTTTCCTGCTGGGAGGAAAGAGGCTCCCCCCTCCCGTGGAGCAGGATCTCAGTCAGCTCCGTGTCAGGGAGACAACGGGGTTTTGTGATTCAGCACCTCACCCGCTGCAGACAGGAGCGGTGCTGAGGCTCCTGAGCTCCCCATCGCCGAGGCGGGACACGGGGGCTGCAGGGGGGGTGCTGCTGAGGCATCGCATCCCCGGCAGCGCGGGGGCTGCAGGAGATCCCTGGTCTCAGCAGCCTCGTCACAGCAAAGCATCGGCATGATGGAGTGGGCTGCTGGCGGTGGGAGTAACACTTTATATAGGGGCTGGTGGCAATGCGAGCGTTGGTGCAGGCCGTGGAAGGGCGGCATCCCGGTGCCGGGATGCAGCAGGGCCGCTTCACCCTTGGAATGCCACAGGAGCATCCCCAGGGATAGCTGGGGGCCTCAGTGTGGCCAGGCCAGGAAAGCAAGCAGCTGGTGGGCCCCGGCTCCTCTGGCCATGGCTATGGATGCACAGGCTCGGTGCCAGGCAGACAGCAGCCAATTCCTCTTGGAGTGAGCAGCAGAGCTGTGGTTGAGCCGGGAGCCTGCGGAAGCCACGTCCTCGTGCCGGCAGCAGAGCCGGGAGCTGCCAAGAGCAGCAGATGGATGCAGGAGTCGGGAACAACTTCGGGATTCTTCCTTGTTCTCGAGGCTCAGGGTGCAGTGAGGAGCCTGGGGGGAGCCTCAGCGCAGGGATGGGATGGGATGGGATGGGATGGGGCTGGTGCAGGCTGCTGCGCCTGCCCTGATTCCCATCCCAGCTGCCTGCGATCTCCCTTGCAGAGGTGCAGGAGCCCATAGGGGGTGAAGCCGAGCGCCTCGCTCCAGCTGGGGTGGGCCAAGGGCTCTGGCAGCCCCGGTGGCAGAGCCAGCCCAGTGTCTCCATGAGACCCTGCAGGCCGGTGACCCGCGGCCAACTCTCCTCTTGCAGATTAAGAACGCAGCAGCCAACGTCCTGCGGGAAACGTGGCTCATCTACAAGCACACCAAGCTGCTCAAGAAGATCGACCACGCCAAAGTCAGGAAGCACCAGAGGAAGTTCCTACAAGCCATTCACCAGTAAGGGGCAGTGGCGCTGGGGGGATGCTGGACCCGTGGTGCAGCAGGGGGATGCTTCCCCATTGCCTGGGATGCAGTCGTGATGTTCTTCCCTTCTCTGCAGGTTGCGGAGCGTGAAGATGGAGCAGCGGAAGCTCAGTGACCAAGCCAACACCCTGGTCGACCTCTCCAAGGCAAGTCCCCGCCGTGACCCCTTGGCTCGGCAGCTGGTTCCCTTCACTTGGATGAGCAGCCCTGGCTGGCGAGGAGATGCTCTGGCTCGGGGATGTCAGCTGGGAATAGGCAGGAAGAGAAACAGAGCCACGAGCCAGGCACGGGGGGGGGGTGTCACCCTTTCTCCAGGAGACATCTTTGCTCCCTGCAGCCCCAGGATGCACAGGGCTGGCTTCCGCTTTCCCTTATGCCTGCACAGGGTCAGGGTCTCCTCATTTAATGTCCCAAAGTGATCCATGATGCGGTCACAGGGCCCTGCGAGACAAGGCAGCTCAGAAAGGGGTTAGAGGGCTGGGCTCTGCAAGTGCAAATAGCACTGACCCCTCCACCATGGCACTGACCCCTCCATCCATGGCACTGACCCCTCCATCCACGGCACTGACCCCTCCATCCACGGCACTGACCCCTCCATCCATGGCACTGACCCCTCCATCCATGGCACTGACCCCTCCATCCATGGCACTGACCCCTCCATCCACGGCACTGACCCCTCCACCATGGCACTGACCCCTCCACCACGGCACTGACGCCTCTGTCCCCTCCCCAGATGCAGAACGTGATGTACGACCTCATCACGGAGCTCAACGACCGCAGCGAGGACCTGGAGAAGCAGATCAGCAGCCTGGAGTCCAAGCTGGAGCAGCTCAGCACCAGCTTCAACTCCCTGCCGCTGCTGATGGCCGACATGCTGCGCCAGCAGCAGCAGCGCCTGCTCGCTGCCGTGCTGGAGGCGCGGGGGGTCAGCGTGCCCGTGGGCACCCCCCAAACTCCTCTGTCCGAGAGCCCCATCGGGGTCAGCTCCACCTCCTTCCCCACCCCTTACACGAGCTCAAGCAGCTGCTAGAGCAGCCCCTGGCTCCACGCAGGTCCCGAGGTCTCCATGGATTTCCTCCTGGTCCTCGCACTGAGCAGGACCCCTTCGGCCGGAGCCGGTGGGACCGGCGGTGCCGAGCGCCGCTCGGAGCTTTGCCAACGCCTTGGTATCGGGAACCACATCCCCGTTCAGGTGCCTCTACACGTGGTGAAGGAAGGGGACGGGAGGCGATGCCTCGGGCGAGCCTGCGCCGCGGAGGCCGGTGGCGGACGGAAAACCCACGCTCAATCTCAGGTCTTCACATAGGAAAAGGGAGCAAGGCAGCGAGTCAGCGGCGCTGCAGCGACGGAGACACCGGAGGGAAGAGTTTTCCTCCCCTGCCCCTCTCAGCATCGCAAAGCAGAGGCCGACCCGGTGGTTCCTTGCACAGGCTCTGACCTACGCTGCCCACGCTCCATCCCATCTCGTTCCCTGGACCCACAGGCACCCCCCCTTGCGTTGCTGGGTGGGTGACAGTGGCCATAACCTGCCGTGGAGGTGTGAGAGGGTTCAGCCCGTGCAGAACAAGGATGCTTCTCCCTCCTGCTCCTCACTGGAGCCGCGCTGGAGCCGGGGAGGCGGTGCCCAAGGCACGCATGGATGCGGGGCCAGGCAGGGGCTGGCAGGCCAGCCCGGGCGCCGCGGGGGCTCTGGTGCTCCCATCGCTGCCCGCCCGCTGCATCCCGGGCAGCTGAGGGGCTCTTTGCTGGATGAGAAACCACATCAGCACCGGGTGCGCCGGGGCCGAGCCGGGGCGCACGGTCACGGGATGCGGTGGTGGGGAAGGTGCTTCATCTGTTTAAAACCAGCCTCTGTGCCGCTGCTGCTGGGTTTGGTGGGGACCCATCCACCCCGGGACTTTGGAACCAGCCCTTTCCTCCTCTGCTTTCCCCATTTCCCCCCTTTTCCTGCCCGGTTCTGCCCCATGGCTGTGCTGGGCTCTGCCTGGGCCCTATGTGGAGCCCGGCAGCAGTTCTGGGGCTGCTCTTTGCTGCTTTCAATGAAAACCCAGCAGAGGCTATTTCTGTATTTTTAAACAGATGAAGGAACCTGTAATTACTCCCCAGTATTAATTACAGCTCAGCCGGCAGTGTCAGTAATTGTAATCAAAGTCACTGTGTTACTCCAGGTATACTCAGCCTGTAATCTCCTTTGTAACTCTTTCCCTCCCCTAAATAACGCTGTATTTTGTGCACACGGAGGCACAGATGGATGAGCCTGATGCCGAGGAAGAGGAGGAGGAAGGCTGCCAGCCTTTTCCCATCCTCGGCCGGCAGGAGATACCTGGCTTCTGGGAAAGAGCTGCTCTTCCAAGCTCTTGTCATTAGTGTAATTGCAGGGCAGGCAGAGGCCGGGATGCCTTGGGCAGTCCTCCCCAGCTCTATTGTGAGCTCTGCTGCTGCTCCCCATGTGCTGCAGGTGACCCCCAGCCCGAGCTGGCTTCTCTGCAGGGTGGATTCCAGCGGGGCAATGGACAGAAGGTTTATTCTCAATGGAGAACGAGCCCAAGGTGCAGGAGCTGCGCCGGAGGAAAGCGCTTCTCTGCCCCTGCTGGGGTGCAAGGAGGAAGGAGCTGCACTGGGGCTGCACGGGGCGAGGAGCAGAGCTGTGTGGGGGCAGCAGAGCCAGAGGAAGGATCGCTGCTCCAGAATCAATGTCGCAGTGGGAACCTCCTCACAGGCTCATGATCGAGTCTGGGTCATGAAACCAGGATGAACTGAGGCACTGGCAGCTGCTGGGACCCGAGCTGTGGGGAGCACCAGTGCGGAGGAGAGCTTTGGAGCACAATGGGTGCACGAGAGCCTTGTCCTGGGGCAGAGCAGAGGGATCTCACCAGGGATGGCAGGAGCTGGGCAGGGATCTCTGCACCCACACGGCCTGTGTCTGGCACCCTGCCTTTCATCTTGCGTCTCAGCCCCTGCATCTCTCACACTGCATCTCATAGCCTGCATCTCACCCCTGCATCTCCCCCTCCATCTCCACCTGCATCTCATAGCCTGCATCTCACCCCACATCTCATAGCCTGCATCTCACCCCTGCATCTCACCCTCCATCTCACTCCCTGCATCTCACCTTCTGCGTCTCACACTCTGCATTCATGCACCCTGAAACCCCCATCCCTCCCACCTGCACCTCCCATTCCACCCCATATTGCACCTTCACCCCTGCCCGTGCCCCAGCACTGGTGCCGGCAGCCCTGACCCACCACCAGGCTCACCGGGCTCCACAGAGGCAAAACCCCCGCAACCCCGAGGCCATGGTGAGGGCCAGCATGGGGAGATGGGGGTGCCCCCAGCGGGGTTCAGCCCACAGCATCCCCCAGGTACCTGCAGCTTCCCGGCAGGGCTCTGGCAAAGGGCTCTGGTAAAGGCTGTCTCTCCACCTGAGAGCGTTGGTTTGGAGCAGGGAGCCCCCGGAGGGCACCAGGACAAAGGAAGAGCTGGGACCAGCAGCCGAGCTGAAGGCAAAGCACAAGAACAACCCCACAGCACCAGAACCCCAAAGAGATGCCACCAAGCGCAGCCGGGGACGCACCCGGAGCCCCTCCAGGACCTCCCAGCCACAACCTGCCTCTGGTTTCCCCTTTGCTCCACGAGCCGTGAGGAGGAGACCCCCAAGGAACAGAGTCCTCCGCCGAGCCCCAGCCTGCAGGAGCTTCGCCCTGGTCCGCATCTCGCCTCTGCGCCGCTCGCTTCTTTTTTACCACTAGGGGAAAGTACAATAGTTTATTTTACCTATGAAATATATTGCTATCTTAGAGAGGGTCTTGGAACTTTCCACCCTGGTTTTGTACCCACCGCAGTGGGCAGCGGCAGCAACGCCAGCCCGCTGCCAAAGGAGTCTGTTTCTGAGTACAGCCGCTGCTCCCGGTGCTCCTCACCCTTTACCCCCCAGCTCTTCATTCCCATCGCCTGGAAGCTGGCTTTAACAGGGCCGGAGCCGTGCAGCCCCAAGGCACCAGAGCTTTGCTGCTCCCACTTCTTGCCCGGGGTCCCAGCGCTTTCTGAAAAGCCATTGCCCCCCTCCGGCCGAAGGAGGGACTCAGCTTCCTGGGCACAGCCACAATTCCCCCTTTCCCTATAGGATAGAGCTTGTCTCGGTGTGGAGCCCGCTGCTCCCCTCCTCCAGCCGGGCTCCCACACCTTTTGGCTTTAGATGAGCTCCAAGGTTCCTTCAACCCAAGCCAGGCTGGGGTTCCGTGACTCCATTCCTCGACCCCAGAGAGAATCTTTCTTACCTCGAGCCCCTGAGCTGCCGGACCTGGTCTCCATTGGATCAACATCTGCTCCGTTGCAGCCCTGATGCTCCTTCCTGTCCTCCTGCATGGAGTGGGACCGGGCAGCGCCTATGGGACCAGTTCCAGAGGAAGCCCCCTCAGTGGCTGCTCCCACCCGAGGCACAGTCCCTGGCTGCTCTCCTTGTCCTCACTGTTACTGACCCTGCCAGCCCAGTTCAACCCAGCAGGGCCAAGTCCCAGCACAACGGTGCAGGAAGGAGCTGGAGGCTGCCTGGGCTCTTCCTGCCCCACGCGTTTGCCTCCACTTGTGGGGCGGTTGTTGGAGGGCGATGCTCTGCCAGAGGAGAGGGGCTGGTTCCCCTTAGGGCAGAGCTGAGTCTCCCCTGCTGCCTCTGGGGACCTTTAGGTGCTCATCCCTCTGTACCCCGGGGTACATCATCTCCCAGCCTGCGATGGCACCAGGTGGGTTTGCTGGGGATGAAGGAGATCCCTCAGCACAGGGCAAATGCTGCTGCAAGCACCTGGGCTCCCTCCCAAAGGCACCCAGTGGGCTCGGGGTGGCCGAGATGGGCTTGTGCAGGGGAGGGGAAAAGCTGCTCCATGGGATTAGCTATTTCCCAGTGGGATGAGCCACCTTGGAGCCCCACGGGGCTCCAGCACCCTGTGCCCGGGGGGTGCTCGCAGCTGGGGGTTCTCAGCACCCAGCTCTGCTCCTCCTTCTGCCCAAAGTGTTCTTCCCCCCGCTGAAGTCTCAGCATCCCCCACGTGCTGATGCCCTTCCCAGTGGGAGCTGCTTGCGTGTCTTTGTGGTCAGGGGCTTACATCCCTCCTCCTGGTCCAATCCCTGAGCCAGGGGCAGGGAGCAGGGACTGCCCCTTTCCCACAGCATCGCCATAAACCCAAGCTGTACCCAGAAACAGGCATGTTTTAAACTATGGCTTTAACCTGTTCACTGTAAAAAGTGCCTTGGACTTTAATCTGAAGAGGTCAGTATCTATAAATATTTACCTGTGCGGGTGTGTAAGTATGCAGCTATCTATGTATAGTTACACACACAAATATATGATATATCCATACACCTCTAAGTGCTTTGGAGCCCTCTGTTCTGATGTGGGGTCGGGGGCTGGCTGTGGGGGATGCTCCAGGCGTTGCTTTGGGCCTTCTACTGCTTCAGGGAGACCCCAGTCAGGGTGAAGCATCCCCTTGTGTTGCTGTGTGTGTGGGGATGCTGAGGCACAGGTGGCCCCATGACAGGGCCATCAGGCAGGACCCCCGGCTAAGGCAGAGCAGGATGGGCAGTGGTTGAATGGTGATGAATTGGGCTTGTTTTGCTGTTAAACTAATACCTGTAAATCCCCCACATGCCTCCAGCAGCCCGGGGGACTCTCCTCGGGGATTAAAGCCCTCAGGCATCATGTCCAGTATTAGCGGCTTAGCTCAGCAGAGCCTTAATGCACGGGGCATTTATGATGCTGCCCATGGAGATGGGGCAAAAGTCGCTTTGTCTTTGTGTGCTTTTATCAATGGCTTGGGATTGAGTCTTGTCCCAAGCCCCTCTCCAGCTTTCCTGCAGCCCCTTTAGGCACTGGAGCTGCTCTAAGCTCTCCCCTTCAGGAGCCTTCTCTTCTCCAGGCTGCCCCAGCCCAGCCCTCTCAGCCTGGCTCCAGAGCAGGGATGCTCCAGCCCTTGCAGCAGCTCCGTGGCCTCCAGCAGCTCCACATCCCTCCTGTGCTGCTCCCCAGAGCTGAATGCA